GACTCAGAAATTTTATTTCCAGAAAGGAGTCCTTGGTAAATAATGAAGATTTGTGTGAAGATTTAGGTACAAAGATCTATGTTATTTATTCTTTTGTTGAGTAGAAACTATTTCCAACATTTTTAGAATGACTATTTATTACTTTCATAATACAAAAAAATATAAAATTATATATGGTTTTTTGTTCGTTTGTTTGTTTTGAGACAGAGTCTCACTGTTGCTCAGGCTGAAGTGCAGAGGCATGATCTTGGCTAACTGCAACCTTCATCTTCCAGCTTCAAGCAGTTCTCCTGCCTCAGTCTCGTGAGTAGCTGGGAGTGTAGGCATGTGCCACCACACTTGGCTAATTTTTGTGTTTTTTGTAGAGATGGGATTTCACCATTTTGGCCAGGCTGGTCTTAAACTCCTGACCCCAGGTAATCCACTTGTGTCAGCCTCCCAAAGCACTGGGATTACAGACGTGAGCCACCGTGCCGGGCTGCTATTTTGCTTTTTTGTATCTGTTTTCTTTATGAAGTTTGCATATCAAAAGTAGATTTTTGATGAGTAAAATCACACTATTCTCAACCAGTATCTTGCTTCAGAAATATCTGGTGGGAAGAAACAGTCATTTAGTAAAAAGACCAATAAGTCATCAGTATGTGTACAAATACTTTTTATTCTGAGAGCACCTGAGGGCATTTTCTTAGAATTTATTTGCATTTGTTGTAGACAGAATTTGAACAAGCTGTGTTTTCTGCCATCCATCCTACAGCCAGTTGAAGGCAGGCACTTGATACCAGTGAAGATATGGGAGGGAGACTGACGGGGGAGGAAAGGCAGATGAATTAAAAACAACGATGACAGGGCGGACGCTGTGGCTCAGGCCTGTAATCCAAGCACTGTGGGAGGCCAAAGTGGGCGGATCATGAGCTCGGGGATCAACATGATCCTGGCCAACATGGTGGAACCCCGTCTCTACTAAGAATACAAAAATTAGCTGGGCATGGTGGCATGCGCCTGTAGTACCAGCTACTTGGGAGGCCGAGGCAGGAGAATCGCTTGAACCCGGGAGGTGGAGGTTGCAGTGAGCTGAGATCGAGCCACTGCACTCCAGCCTGGTGACAGAGCAAGACTCCATCTCAAGAAAAAANAAAAAAAAAAAAAAAACAATGACAGAGAAACAACCACAAGTGCTCACAGAGCACAGCAGTTTTAGGCTAATAATCCTTCACATTGAAATGGCTCCTGAGGGCATGGATAATAATTAAATGTTTATGAAGACCTTGAATCACCTGGAAAAATTTGGTTTCCCTTGTTTTAAAAGGAAAGAGATTAGATAATGCATTTGAAAACTTATATTCAAGATAGTTAAAATAGGGCAAAATTTGGCATCTAAGTCTTGTAAGTGCTAATTATCTGGAAAAAATACCTGTGCGAATGAGTGATGAGAAGAATGACATAATCTCCTGTATAAATCATTAGTGCAGAAATCTCTCTGGAATTTCATAGCATACATTCAACTTTGAATTTTTTTTTTTTCTTTTTAGAAAAAGGGATTTAGATGACTCCCAGAGAGAGTCAAGTGGGGTGTGGTCTGATGGGATTCTGGTTTACTTATTTCCCCTTCTGGTGGCCTCTCTCACTGGGTGATGTGCATGTGGCCTTTTCCCTCTGCCCCCAGGACTGCCCTCCAGATGCAGAAGATTTCAGAGCCCAGCAGTGCTCGGCCTATAGTGATGTCCAGTATCAGGGGCATTATTATGAATGGCTTCCACGATATAATGATCCTGCTGCCCCCTGCGCACTCAAGTGTCATGCACGAGGACAAGATTTGGTGGTGGAGCTGGCACCTAAGGTACTGGACGGAACTCGTTGCAACACGGATTCCTTGGACATGTGTATCAGTGGCATCTGCCAGGTAAGCACACCTGCCTCCCAAGCCCCTCCCTCAGGCCTGTGCCACGCCTACTATCAATAAGCACAACCCTTTTCTTCTGTACTTTTGCTCATGCAGATGAAAGTATTGCTACTGGCTGGGTGTGGTGGCTCACACCTGTAATCCCAGCACTTTAGGAGGCAGAGGTGGGAGGATCACTCATCGAGACCAGGGGTTCCAGACCAGCCTGACCAACATGGTGAAATCCCGTCTCAGCTAAAAATACAAAAATTAGCCAGGCATAGTGGCAGGTGCCTGTAGTCCCAGCTACTCAGGAGGCTGAGCCAAGAGAATCTCTTTAACCTGGCAGGTGGAGGTTGCAGTGAGCTGAGATCGCACCACTGCACTCCAGCTTGGGGGACAAAGTGAGACTCTGTCTCAAAAATAAAATAAAAAGGAAATATTGCTATTGATCCTTTTAATATTAAAACTACTTGCTAGAATGTTACTAGCCTTTAAGTCATGTTTCACTTGTTTAAAATAGTATAAATTTTGCCCATGTAGATCCAAAAGATTGTAATATAACTTCTTGTGATTCTTCTAGATAAGTAATTCTTTTTCTTTTTTTGAGACAGAGAGAGTCTCATTCTGTCACCCAGCCTGGAGGACAGTGGTGCATTCTCAGCTCACTGCAGGCTCCACCTGCCAGGTTCAAGTGATTCTGTGCTTCAGCCTCCTAAGCAGCTGGGATTACAGGCACCCACCACCATGGCCAGCTGTTTTTTGTATTTTCAGTACAGACTAAGTTTCATCATGTTGGCCAGACTGGTCGCAAACTCCTGACCTCAGGTGATTTGCCTGCCTTAGCCTCTCAAAGTGCTAGGATTGATTACAGGCATAAGCCACCGCCCCGGGCCATAGATTAGCTGTTCTCTGACTTGAACATGTATCAGTCACCTGGCAGGCTTGTGATGACAGAGTGTTGGGCGCATCCCCCAGAGCTTCTGATTCAGTAGGTTAGGGGTGAGGCTCAAAGATTTGCTTTTCTAACAAGTTCCCCAGAGATACTGAAGCTGTGGATCTGGGGAATACACTTTGAGAACCACTGTTTTGGAAGAGTAATACTGGAGAGTCTCTTATTAAATTAAGCTTTCCTGTTAAAATTAATTCATTATTTTGGGTCTTTGGGAACAATGACTTATTTACAAAAAACTAACATGAATGCATTCCAGCAGATTTTTCAGAGTGGCCTCTGCAGAGCTGTGACGAGTGTGACTGAGCTGTAAACCCCAGTAGCTTGTAATGAGTTTAAGAATTCAAGACACTTTCAGCTGGTGTGGTGGCTCACGCCTGTAATCCCAGCACTTTGGAAGGCCAAGGTGGGCAGATCACTTGAGGTCAGGAGTTCGAGACCAGCCTAGCAGCATGGTGAAACCCCATCTCCACTAAAAATACAGCAATTAGCTGGCATGATGGAATATGCATGTAACCCCAGCTACTAGGAAGGCTGAGGCAGGAGAATCGCCTGAACCCAGGAGGTGGAGGTTGCAGTGAGCCAGGTCACGCCACTGCACTCCAGCCTGAGTGATAGAGTGAGACTCTGTCTCAAAAAGAAAAAAAAAATTAGAAAGACACTATGACAGGTTGTGAGACGGGGATGGCAGAGAAATGATAGGATTCTGCATCTATGCTTTTGATTTTTGACAAGTGTTTCTAAAAAATAATGAATGTGTCTAGTATTTCACCCACCCTGTAATGCTCATAACAAAACAGTGGTAACAACAGCAGACGAGCAACCTGACCACCTGCTGACTGTTAGGCACTGCCACGAGTCTCAGACTTGAAGTGCTCAGAGGTGAATTTTCATCCTGCTCTCAAACCAGCTTCAACTTTGTTCATCCCTTTATCTAGAAAATGCCTTCAAGTTGCTCATCCCAAAACTTTGGCGTCATTCTTGCTTTTCTTTCAACCCACACATTTGATCCATTGCCAGGTCCTGTCAATTTTCCCTCCAAAGATTACTTTTAATTTACCACATCTTTCCGCCTTTACTGACTTTTCTTGTACCCTGAGTCCCTATCAGCTGATCTAAACTGCATTAACAGCTTTCTGTTCTGTTCTCCCAGCTCCCACCATGGTTCCCTCCAGTCTTTTCTTCAAAGAGCTGCCAAAGTGATTATTTTAAAAGGTAATTCAGAGCTTGTCATTCTTGCATCCCCCAAAGCCCCTCAATGGCTTGTCCTTGCATTAATGATGAAATGTAGGATTCTTGCCTGTCTCTTTAGGCTCTTCCTTTACTATCTACCTCCCTGTCCTTTTAAAATAAACTCAATTTTTTTTTAAGAGACAGGGTCTCACTCTGTCACCCAGGCTGGAATACAGTGACATGATCATAGCTCATTGCAGACTAATCCTCCTGGGCTGAAGCAATCCTCCTGCCTCAACCTCCCACATAGCTGGGACTGCAGGCATGTGTCACCATGCTCAGCCAATTGTTTGTTTGTTTGATTTTTGTAGAGATGGGGTCTTGCTATGTTGCTCAGGCTGGTCTTCAGCCTCCCAAAATACTGGCATGACAGGCATGAGCTGCCATACCTGGCCTGACTCGATTTTTTAGAGCAATTTTAGATTCACAGCAAAATTTAGTGGACGGTAGAGTTTCCCATAGGACCCCCTGTTTCCTTAAATGCACAGCCTCCTCCACTATCAACATTCCCCTCTATAGTAGTATAGTTATTACAGTTGATGAATCTGCGTTGACACATCATAATCACCCAAAATTCATAGTTTATATTAGGGCTCATTCTTGGTGTTGTAAATTCTGAGTTTGAACAAATGTATAATGACATGTATCCACTATTATAGTAATGCAGAGCAGTTTCACTGACTTAAAAACCCTCTATGCTTTGCTCTTCCATCCCTCTCTCCTCGCTAGCCCCTGGCAACCATGGATCTTTTTACTGTCTCCATAGTTTTGCGTTTTCCCGAATGCCACAGAGTTGGAATCATAGAGTGTGTAGCTTTTTCGGATTGTCTTCTTTCATGTAGTAATATATTATACATTTAAGTTTTCTCAGTGTCTTTTCACGGCTTCGTAGCTCATTCATTTTCTTTTTTCATTTTAAAAATTTAAGAGAAAAAAAAATTAATCGAGTGCTTCAAAAGTTAGCGTGTCAGCGTGGAACAGGGGACATGCTAATCTTCTCTGTATCATTCCAATTTTAGTATATGTGCTGCGGATGCAAGCACAATAGCTCTTTTTTTTTTTTTTTTTTTTTTTTTGAGACAGAGTCTCACTCTGTCACCCAGGCTGGAGTGCAGTGGCGCGATCTCGGCTCACTGCAACCTCCACCTCCTGGGTTCAAGCAATTCTCCTGCCTCAGGTTCCCTAGTAGCTGGGACTACAGTTGCCTACCACCATGCCTGGCTAATTTTTTGTATTTTTAGTAGAGACAAGGTTTCACCGTGTTAGCCGGGATGGTCCAGATCACCTGACCTCCTAATCCGCCCATTTCTTGGCCTTTCAAAGTGTTGGGATTACAGGCATGAGCCACTGCACTTGGCCGCTCATTTCTTTTTAACACTGAATAATATTCCATTGTCTTGGATGTACCACTATTTATTTATCCACTCACCTCCTGAAGGACACTTTGGTTGCTTCTTACTTTTGGTAACCAAAAGTAGACTTGGCAAAAAGTCGAAGCTTACCATGTAATTCTTCCATTTTATAAACCTTCTCTTGTTCCCCTTTATTGCCACCAGTTAAATTTTGGGTTCTTTGACCAAATGATAATAGTAATCCTTCTCAGTGGGATTATGCTTTTGTTTCCCAAGTTTTTGGCAACGATCATGTATTGCTTTTATAATTAAAAAGAATTGTTATTAAAAGCAATTTAGGTTGGCACATTGGCTCTGCCTGTAATCACAACATTGGGAGGCCAAGACTGGAGGATTCCTTGAACCTAGGAGTTCGAGACCAGCCTGAGCAATATGGAGAAATCTTGTTTCTACAGAAAACTTTTTAAAAATTAGCTGGGTAGGGTGATGCAAACCTATGGTCCTAGCTACTTGTTACTCTGGATCCTGAGGCAAGAGACTCACTTGAATCCAGGTGGTTGAGGCTACACTCAGCTGTGATTACACCACTGTATTCTAGCCTGTGATAGGGTGGGACCCTGTTTCTAAAAAAAAAAATAAATAAAGAAAAGCAATTTATTTTGGTCTCAAGGAGAGCATTCTGGATAAGGTGATATTTGGACACTGAGGTTTTGAAAAGTTGAGTAGAAGTTAGATAAACCAAGGGAAGGAAGAGAATGACAAGCAGAAGGGACAGGGATGTAACAGCAGGTACAGATGTGTTTTAGGGGACAGGAGTGCATTCTGCAGAACTGAGGTGAGAAAACCCACGGAATAGTGCCAGGAGATGGGGCTATCTGTCAAGGTGGAAACTAATCATTAATTTATTCTGAAAGTTGCGAGGGGAGCCATTTCATAATTTTATAAAGAATTTGGGCTTGTCTTTAGAAAGGTCATTTCAGTGGCAATCTGGCAGATTATTTGCAGAGGACAGGATCTAGCCAAGCAATAGAAGGTCAAGTATGGGATAACAAGAGCTTAAAACAAGGCAAGTTACAGGATCAATGAAGTGTAGACGAATTCTAAAGTTTAAAGATGCAATTTTTGTGTATGTGTGTGAAAGGGTCTTGCTCTGTTGTCCAGGCTGGAGTATAACGCTGTAGCTACAGCTCGCTGCAGCCTTGAGCTCCTGGACTCAAGCAATTCTCCTGAATTAGCCCCCACACCACCCCCAAGTAGGAATGTTCCTCTATGCTAGGATAATTTTTATTTTTTAAATTTTTTGTGGAGATCAAGTCTCACTGTGTTGCCCAGGCTGATATTGAGCTCCTGGCTTCCGGTAACCCTCCTACCTTGGCCGCCTACAACACTGGGCTTATAGATGTGAGCCACTGAGCCCAGTTCTGGAAACAGATCTTTTAGGACTGAATGTTTGGTTGGATGTGGGGAGTGAAAGAATGATATCTAGATTTCTGATATTGTGACTAAGTAGATAGTGAGACCATTTATCAAGACAAAATATTGAGTGAAAACCAGGGCATGGGGCAAAGATGATGAGCTTGATGTACCTGTGAATGTCTTAGGAGAGAGATCTAGACTAGAAATATAGATCTGGGGCTGTCACATGGTTACATCTAATAATCTATTATCCTTGGGACTGAGTAAGAAGGACAGGTTGTACGGAGTCTTGGTGCCCATGGTTGAAGGAACAAGCACAGGGAGAGGTGCCCCTGATGGGGACTGAACAAATAGCCTTCTATATAGTAGAGAGACCATAAAAAAACAGAAGATAAGGGTGGGTGAGGCTTTAAGAAGGCAGGTTAGCAGTGGCACGTACTTCAGAGAAGTCAAGAGCAGTAAGAACTGAAATCCACCCACTTCACTTTGACCAAACATCACTGGCAACCTCAGCTGGTACAGCCTCAATGCCGGGGTTGGACCAGGTGGTGGGGAGGATGCAGGATGCATTAGTTTTCTGTGGCTGCTGTAACAAATTACCGCAAACTTATTCTCTCACACTTCTAGAGGCTGGAAGTTTACAATCAAGGTATCAGCAGGGTTGGTTCTTGCTGGAGGCTCTGAGGGAGAATCCATTCCTTGCCTCTTTTCCAGCTTCTGGTCCTGGAATTTGGGCTTGTCTAGAAAGAGCCCATTTGCAGAAGCCTAGTCTGGGAGCAGCAGGTGGGCAGGATGGAGGGAAAAGGGGAGGGTGGGTGACTCTAAAACTTAAGCTTCATGAACTATGGTAAATCCACAAACGAGCAAGGAATATATGATATATGTTGCCAGGTGGGTGTGTGGGTGGAGTATTGATGTAGAGGTAGAAATATACAACTAATGGAGTAAAGTTTGGGGGAATCAAAGGAGTTGATAGCAGAAAAAAAGGGGACAGGTTTTTGTGCCAGTGATTTTTGGTGTTCCTTGCTTGTGGAAGAATCACTCTCATCTCTGCCTTCATCTGTACCTCGCCTTCTCTTGTCTGTCTCTGTGTCTTCCTCTCCTTCTGTAAGGACACCTTCATATGATTTCATCTCAACATCCTTAACTTAATTACATTTGCAAAGATATTTTTCAAAATACGGTCACATTCATAGGTTCTGGATGCCATGTCTCTTTTTGGGGGGGCACAATTCAAACCACTACACATGGTGAGGAATGCATAGGCCTAAGTGCGTAGGGATGATGAGCGTAAACCCATCTTTCAAAAAGTATGAATCGGAGGAATAGAGAAGGAAGGATACAACGACAGCTAGAGGGGGTGTCAGGTCCAGGAAGAATGTCTCCAAGATCAGAGATACTTGGAAAAGCACTGGAGCAGAAACAGTTTTTAGGGTACCTGAAGCATATATAATTAGAAGGACCCTCTTTATTTATTAATTTTTGAGACAGGGTCTCACTCTGTCACCCAGGTTGGATTGCAATGGTGCTATAATGGCTCCTTGCAGCCTCAACCTCCTGGGCTCAATGATCCTCCCATCTCAACCTCCTGAGTAGCTGGGACCACAGGCATGCCACCACTGCCTAGTTTACAGCAGAGTCTTGCATAGAAATCCTTCCCAGTTGCAGCCCAACTTCCCCTCCTGACTTCAAACACTTCAATTCCTAGCAGCTCTCAGCATTTGCCGGAGCCTAGACTGGGAACAGCAGGTGGGCAAGACAGAGGGAAAGGGAGAAAGTGGTTGACCCTGAAACTTAGGCTTCATTAACTTCATGGTAAATCCACGAATGAGCAAGGATATGTGTTGCCAGGCAGGTGGGTGAGTGGAGACAGATTGCCTATGGACAAGGAGGAGTGAAACCTCTTCCCTTGAGGCAGGTAGGAAGGGTGAAATATGGGCCAATGATCAGTTTGTGTCAGAACAGATAGGAGGGTGAGATATTGTTTGATGGCCTCAATCGAGTGAAATATAAAACAAAGACATCTAATCAGAATAAGGGGGCAGGATTTTGAGGAGGCATGAGAAATTTGAAGATGCTCTGAGGATAACGTAGATGACAAAATATGGTTAGAGAACAGTGCCCTATGTAACTAGAAGAAGTAGAAAACCATTGCCTTTGGCACAGTTGATGTGTGAAGCTAAGGTCACTTTGGCTTTGGGTCAGGGCCATGGACCTGCTTAGTGGCTTCCTGTGAATAGCTGTGATCAGGACTGTGTAGACTTCAGATTTAGAGAGAACTGGATTCAGAGTCTATTTCTGCAACTAATTAACTGAAGACCACTTGGCAACTCCCTTACCATCTTTGAGTCTTGACCTTTCCATCAGGTAAAAAGCAGATATTATCCTCCTTATAGTCCCTGTTTTAAATTCATTATCCCACAAACCAACATTCCAAGTGCCTGGCACAACAGCTGACACACAAGAGGCCTTCAGTCAACGTGAGCTCCCCTTCCCTCGCTTCCCCTTCTGCTCACTGCCCACCACCCCCTCCTCTTATTCGTGGTGTAAGTCCAGTTGCATAGTTGTCTCCAGGAGTTTCCAGGGTTTAAAGGGGCTTGTAGGATAAAGGTGGTTTCAGTGTGAATTAGTCTGTTTTAAGTGAGTGCTTCTCATCACAGTTTTGTGATTCTAATGAATAAGCCAGTTTTTTGGGTGATGAGGAGCGACACCTGGTTGCTGGATGCTCCTTTGGCTAGGTGATTTCAATAAAAGAATTGTATGTACTTCCTCAGAAGTGCTTCAGACACTTCTTGGTTGAATTCAGTATCTTTCCTTCAACAGAATAATGTTCACATAAATTTCTTTTCTTGTGCCACGTGGCCTTGGGTATCAGTTAGGGTCGAGAAAGTGAAGGGTGTGATTCTTTCTGCTTGCGTCAGGATCACTGAAGTGAGCCATAATGACTACTTGTCATAGGCTATGCATAATTCTTGGAAATGTCTGTATAGTTTTCTCATTTAAATGAACATGCCACAGTGCTCTTGGGAGCAACTTTCCATTAGCCTGAGCACAGCTGACAGCCTGAGACAGCGGTCCTCACTGAATGAGATTTGCTTCTGCTTTGGAGGTCCGATTTTTATTAGAGGCATTGCCTGGTTGGTAAAAGCTCTGCAGACCAAGTCTGATTTGTCATTCATGTTTGTTGAATTCCCTGATAGCTGTGCAGATGAAGAAACTACTTAAAATTTGGAATAAAAATATAAATAATAGCAACTAACACTGGGTGCTTAGCC